TATACAGGTATCTTACTCGATAGCTGGTGAGATGGTTGCAAGCATTACCAGGGTATGATACTTTTATGAGATTGTGGGCTGGTCATTTTGGTACTCATATGCTAGAACTATTTTATTATAATAAATAAAAATAATATTTTTCAAAAACTAACACTGTATGAAGTATTAGCTTCATAAATACCTAACAGGCGGAAAATTTATATATATATATATATATATATATATATATATATATATATAGGTGAAAAATTAAAGCTTCCGCTTTTTGTTGGGTACTTCGACAAGATTTAAGCAAAGAGGACTCTTTATACTTTTTTTAATTCTCTCTAGCTTTCAATGGACTTTGCCATCATCATCAGGAGCTGCAATTACAATGATAACAGTAGCAACAAAGGTGTAAAATGAATTTAAATTGACTCAACTTACAGTAGTATGTGAGAATGTTGCTAATTGTTGTTTATGTATAGGATGAGGGAAACGTCCAGTAACATGGTGAGAGCTGAATAGGTTGCACAATAGTCAAAATTTATACAAAACATGACAAGAACACGTTAAAAACAGATTAAAAATTATTTTAAAAAATTAGAACATTACATCGTGAAACCACCTGATGATTGCACAAATTAGTGGTCATGGAATGATGAATTGATGAGTGACATGAAACCCTTTGACAGAAGGCCGAAGGATGTCAATGTCAGTATTGAAAGATGGAACGAATTGTGGGCGTGTGCCAAAAACGTTGCCAAATCACTTCAGATGAAGAGATTTTCAGAATTTTATGATGGAATTTGTTAAACCGACCAGAGGCAGTTGAATAAACTATATTATTATTAATGGGAATTTAAATTAACAATTATTAATAAATCGTGAGGAGAGAATTATTATATTTTGAGTGGAATGAAATTTACTGGTGGAAACGGCCAAATCACAGATTCTAATTATGGTTGTGAAGAGTTGAAATTTGGGGAGATATGTAAGTTCTCCAATTTTTCGCAGTTTAGCAAATATGAGTAAATGACACTCAGTTGTTTAACATCTGTCTTTTTGTTGATACAGTTGTTATTCATGAAAATGTGGGACATTTCCAGGAATAAACGTTTGGAAAGGTGTTTTTCTTTATCAAGAACTTTGATACTTGTGTAATTCATAGAATGCCCTGTTGTGTTAACATGAGATGCTAGAGCGCATCTTTCAGGATGAAGCCTAGCATCACTTTTGTGTGATGTAATCCTTCCTTTAAGAGATCTGGAGGTCTGACCTATGTATATTTGGTTGCAGTTGTTGCAATTGATGGAGTAAACTGTGTTGGTTAAGCCAAGCAGCGGGACTTTGTCTTTCATTTTTGAAAAAATGCAGTTTATAGTGAGGACGGATTTGCAAGCAATTCGAAAGTTCAAAGGACTGCACAATCTGATCAGCTTAGGGGTCAGTTCCTTGATGTAGGGCAGGACAGCAAAACCAGGTCTGGAGTCCGGGTTGGTGCTAGTACTGTTAGGATTGATGTTATTATTGGGAATTACATCAGTTCCGTTATTAGGGGTTGTGCGACTATTACCTGCATCACCAGAGTTCGGCAAAATATTGGAAGGTGAACTAAAAATGATCTTGTTAATCAGACACTTCGGATAACCATTATTAATGAACAGTTTTGATAGTTTACGTAAATTTGAGGTGTGGAAGGTATTATCTGAGATGCTGATTACCCTTGTTTTCATCTGTTTTACCAAATTGATTTTAATCCCTAGCTTATGATATGACCTAAAATTGAGAAACCGACCTGAGGCCATAGGTTTCTGGTACCAGTCTACCAATAAACTGTTGTTGTTGGTGCGAATGAGTCTTGTGTCTAGAAAGGGGACAGACAGGTTCTCATCTTCTTTTTCAATGGTAAATTGGATGTAGGGGTCATAGCTGTTGAATTCTCTGACAATACCATCCAGACCTATGGAAGGGAGGCATAAAATAATGTCATCTACGTATTTTTTTATGAAGAAGAGGTTATAGGGTAGTGTCGGAATAACTGTATCAAGCAGATCATCCATGACATATTCCGCCAAAATTGGTGACAGAACAGATCCCATAGGACAACCATGTGTTTGAGAATATATTTTGTTGTTGAAAGAGAAATAATTGTTATGAAAAAGGAATGTTATAATGTTGGTGAAAGATTCTAGAGATATGTTGCAGTGTTGACTTATCTCATTCCAGTGTTTATTAATAGTTCTTGTACATGCATCCAGATAGATGTTGCTGAATAGCGACACCACATCAAGACTGGCGATAATATGATCGGCTGGTATTGTCAATCTATTGAACTGACGAGAGACCTCAAATGAGTCTTTGATGTAGTAATCATTGTCTGCATGTGCTGATTTTAGTGTTGTCGATATTAATGAAGACAAAGCCTGGGTGGCTGAACCTATTGATGCAACTATAGGTCTTACTGAGAGTACAGGTTTGTGAATTTTCGGAAGTGCATAAAAAAAAAAAAAAAAAAAAAAAAAAAAAAATAAAAAAAAAAAAAAGAACTTTGACTACTTATAACTCTGTCCCTCCCAAATTTTATGCACTTCCGAAAATTCACAAACCTGTACTCTCAGTAAGACCTATAGTTGCATCAATAGGTTCAGCCACCCAGGCTTTGTCTTCATTAATATCGACAACACTAAAATCAGCACATGCAGACAATGATTACTACATCAAAGACTCATTTGAGGTCTCTCGTCAGTTCAATAGATTGACAATACCAGCCGATCATATTATCGCCAGTCTTGATGTGGTGTCGCTATTCAGCAACATCTATCTGGATGCATGTACAAGAACTATTAATAAACACTGGAATGAGATAAGTCAACACTGCAACATATCTCTAGAATCTTTCACCAACATTATAACATTCCTTTTTCATAACAATTATTTCTCTTTCAACAACAAAATATATTCTCAAACACATGGTTGTCCTATGGGATCTGTTCTGTCACCAATTTTGGCGGAATATGTCATGGATGATCTGCTTGATACAGTTATTCCGACACTACCCTATAACCTCTTCTTCATAAAAAAATACGTAGATGACATTATTTTATGCCTCCCTTCCATAGGTCTGGATGGTATTGTCAGAGAATTCAACAGCTATGACCCCTACATCCAATTTACCATTGAAAAAGAAGATGAGAACCTGTCTGTCCCCTTTCTAGACACAAGACTCATTCGCACCAACAACAACAGTTTATTGGTAGACTGGTACCAGAAACCTATGGCCTCAGGTCGGTTTCTCAATTTTAGGTCATACCATAAGCTAGGGATTAAAATCAATTTGGTAAAACAGATGAAAACAAGGGTAATCAGCATCTCAGATAATACCTTCCACACCTCAAATTTACGTAAACTATCAAAACTGTTCATTAATAATGGTTATCCGAAGTGTCTGATTAACAAGATCATTTTTAGTTCACCTTCCAATATTTTGCCGAACTCTGGTGATGCAGGTAATAGTCGCACAACCCCTAATAACGGAACTGATGTAATTCCCAATAATAACATCAATCCTAACAGTACTAGCACCAACCCGGACTCCAGACCTGGTTTTGCTGTCCTGCCCTACATCAAGGAACTGACCCCTAAGCTGATCAGATTGTGCAGTCCTTTGAACTTTCGAATTGCTTGCAAATCCGTCCTCACTATAAACTGCATTTTTTCAAAAATGAAAGACAAAGTCCCGCTGCTTGGCTTAACCAACACAGTTTACTCCATCAATTGCAACAACTGCAACCAAATATACATAGGTCAGACCTCCAGATCTCTTAAAGGAAGGATTACATCACACAAAAGTGATGCTAGGCTTCATCCTGAAAGATGCGCTCTAGCATCTCATGTTAACACAACAGGGCATTCTATGAATTACACAAGTATCAAAGTTCTTGATAAAGAAAAACACCTTTCCAAACGTTTATTCCTGGAAATGTCCCACATTTTCATGAATAACAACTGTATCAACAAAAAGACAGATGTTAAACAACTGAGTGTCATTTACTCATATTTGCTAAACTGCGAAAAATTGGAGAACTTACATATCTCCCCAAATTTCAACTCTTCACAACCATAATTAGAATCTGTGTTTTGGCCGTTTCCACCAGTAAATTTCATTCCACTCAAAATATAATAATTCTCTCCTCACGATTTATTAATAATTGTTAATTTAAATTCCCATTAATAATAATATAGTTTATTCAACTGCCTCTGGTCGGTTTAACAAATTCCATCATAAAATTCTGAAAATCTCTTCATCTGAAGTGATTTGGCAACGTTTTTGGCACACGCCCACAATTCGTTCCATCTTTCAATACTGACATTGACATCCTTCGGCCTTCTGTCAAAGGGTTTCATGTCACTCATCAATTCATCATTCCATGACCACTAATTTGTGCAATCATCAGGTGGTTTCACGATGTAATGTTCTAATTTTTTAAAATAATTTTTAATCTGTTTTTAACGTGTTCTTGTCATGTTTTGTATAAATTTTGACTATTGTGCAACCTATTCAGCTCTCACCATGTTACTGGACGTTTCCCTCATCCTATACATAAACAACAATTAGCAACATTCTCACATACTACTGTAAGTTGAGTCAATTTAAATTCATTTTACACCTTTGTTGCTACTGTTATCATTGTAATTGCAGCTCCTGATGATGATGGCAAAGTCCATTGAAAGCTAGAGAGAATTAAAAAAAGTATAAAGAGTCCTCTTTGCTTAAATCTTGTCGAAGTACCCAACAAAAAGCGGAAGCTTTAATTTTTCACCTAACTGGTTTAGACGACAATGACCACGTCTCAAGTTATATATATATATATATATATATATATATGTTATATTTTACGTATAACCGTTCCGCAGAACAAAATGATCATTTTCATTAAGTTTGTAAATATTTTATCACCATTCTCTTTTTGTTACAGCACGTTCAGTCTCAGATGAGACAAGAATGCAAGTGTCACGGCATGTCTGGGTCTTGCACGGTCAAGACCTGTTGGATGCGGCTTCCATCGTTCCGGGTCATCGGAGATCTGTTGAAGGACAGATTCGATGGCGCTTCTCACATCACTTCATCTAATGGAGGACACAATAGAAATAACAACAAAGCCCACACTAATAGGTAAGCAGTGACACTAAACTAAAATGGCTATAGTGTTGCTGTTGTTGTTCTTCCATAACAAGTTTACCCAAGGCTTAAACCAGTCGCGAGTATGGATTAAAAATTGACGTTCTGAAGGAAAGCAGAAAGTGTGTCGTTTTTGAGGAAAATACCTTGGCTTCAGTAAAGTTCTGTTAATTCTAATATCGGATTCAGAGTACTGGATCCTCCATATTGAAAACAAAGTATATATAGCAATAAATGCGTAATCAGCGACCCCCAAAATACCAGGAAATGCAGCAATCTTTTAATGTTAAGAACGACTAACATAGTGAACATTACTATGTTTTCTTTTCGTTTCAGGTTACCTAAACATCCAAAATTGAACGCCATAATGTCTAACAGCATCCACGCTAAAAGGGAGAATAGGAGAAACAGGCACAAGTATGGTTTCCAGTTGAAACCATTCAACCCAGACCACAAACCTCCAGGTATCAAGGATCTCGTCTACTACGAGATGTCGCCTGGTTTTTGTGAAAAGAACCCAAAACTGGGCATCCAAGGTAAGAAAACATTATATCTACTCTACCTATAGTATCTTACTCGTCAAAGGGATATATTTATATACAGGGTTATCCAAATTAAGTGTCCACCATTAGTAACTTTGTTATTAGTGAAAATACAAAGTTGTTTGAATTAGCAAACTAGTAGCATTTTTAACGCTGGTAAAAATGAGAAATAAAAAAAAAAACAATTGAGAGTCGTTATTTTGATTTTTTTCAGTAAAATAACATTTTTTTAAATGGAAACCCCTGTATATTATATTTTTTTCTGTTAAAGCATCAAATTTTAAACAAAAAAGCTTACAATAACTTTTCTCCTAGGTTACAAATTGTTGAAGTTATGGCCTCCAATCTGAAACAATTAAATTGTATCGACAAACTTTATTTTCAACATCAACTTATAATCTTACAAAATACAATAACAATTTTTTTTAAAGAAGGTGCTCGAAAACACCACCTTGTTCTTCAATACAATTTTGGGCACGTTTTTCAACTGCTCGAACTGTCTTAAGTATGGTCCTACCATCTATCTGGGTTATCTTTTCCCTAACTGCAGTCTTTAACGCGTCAAGGTTATCGTACCTTCGCTTGTAAATTTGGTTCTTTAAGTAACCCCACAAGAAGTAATCAAGTGGGTTTAGATCTGGTGATCTGGGAGGCCACTGTATTGGGCCATTTGTTCCTATCCACTGATCATTGAAAGTAGTACTTAGAAAATGATAAGTACCTCTGGAGTTGTGGGCAGGTGCGCCATCTTGCTGAAAATGCAGATGATGTCTACTTATAAGACCCAATTCGTCTAAGAAATTAGTCAGAATTTCTGACATAAATTCCACATATCTTTCACCAGTTAGGGTTCCCTCATAAAAGAACGGGCCAACAATTTTTGAACCAATTATACCGCACCAAACGTTGAAACTGAAACGGACTTGTGGGCCTCTTGGATGTACTAACAAAAGATTTTCTCTTGACCAATAATGGTGGTTTTTTCTATTAAACATTCCAGAATTTGAAAAATTTGATTCATCTGTCCATAAAAGGTAACGAAAGTTATTTACATTTTGGCGACAGAAGCTAAGATACCAATGGCAAAAAACAAGTCTTCTCTCTGGATCCCCTGCCAAAAGCGTTTGAACTGGTCGGTACTTAAACAGAATAAATTTGTATTTTTTTAAAATCCTTTGAACAGTACCATAACTGAAATTAGAGTCCTTGAGAATATCTGCTATTGAATTCTCACGATAAGCTTCAAAATATCCAATAACTGCAATTTCCGTGGCCTCGCTTATTATGAATTCTTTTTTTGCCCTTGTTTTAGCAAAAACATTTTCGTTGCCCCTAAATTTTCGATAAAGTCTCAGAAAATATCGTTCATACGGTTGAATGCGAGCGGGATATAATTCACTGTAGTATTCTCTTGCTCTCAAGGAGGATTTTCTGCACACTAAATAGCTTTCTAACATATCACACTTTTCTTCATGGGAGAACATTTTTCTTTAAATTAATGACACAATAAAGCTTATAAACAAGTATTTACACTAATGTTTGACATTATTTGATTTTATCATTGTTTTCCAAAGCCTTCTAGTTGCGAGTATGTCCAGTTTAACAATTTGTCGCTTATCTTAATGCTGTCAAATCGCGAACGCCATGTTGTTTTCATAGCCGTCTTAATATTATAATACTGCAAATAATTAAAAATATTTATCGTTATTTTGACTTTATTTTTGACTTTAGCGGAAAAGTCATTATGAACTTTTTTGTTTAAAATTTGATGCTTTAACAGAAAAAAATATAATATACAGGGGTTTCCATTTAAAAAAATGTTATTTTACTGAAAAAATCAAAATAACGACTCTCAATTGTTTTTTTTTATTTCTCATTTTTACCAGCGTTAAAAATGCTACTAGTTTGCTAATTCAAACAACTTTGTATTTTCACTAATAACAAAGTTACTAATGGTGGACACTTAATTTGGATAACCCTGTATACTGTTCAAACATTCACGTTCTCTGCTTAATAAGAATATATCTTATGAGACCAGTTTCATATCAAGCACGTCCGCACAGGTTGGGAGCTCCGATTAAATGACCTTGTTAGCAAAAAATTCCAGTTAAGCATATTTGACAGAAAAAGTATAAATTTCCTGGACTATTGCAGATTGGGCACAGATCAAATATATATTCGAAATCACGAAAGATGACGATTACGTTATCATTTTAGTCTGTATTAAAGACAAACGACAGCGATTTGTGAATATTTTTAATGAAGTTTCAAATATGTTAGACAGATACAAACAGAATTTTATTGTCTAAACAAGCTGTATTGCTAATTTGCATGTATCCGACAAAGATAGACGATGTTTTCATGTTGCTTGATCGCCCATATTAGAAAGATAAATAGTTAGGTTATGTTAAAGCAGGTTAGGTTGTTTTCGAATAATACTTTGGTCTTTGGTGTTGATGTCTTGAACTGTATTCTACTCATAACTTTTTTCAAAACAAAATTATTATTAAGGTATCACTTTAAATCATGAAATAAAAATATTCAGTGAAATAACCTAATTTCACAAAATCATAATATAAATGTGTTGTCATTATGTCCCTGACATCGTGATTTTATCAACGACGTACGTCCATTGATTACTTCAGTACAATTTATAATCCTTTGATCTTGGTGTCACCGCCGTTTGACAACTATCTTACCAATTACCATGGGCGTCCGGAGATATTTTGTCCAAAGGGTGCAAATAAAAAAATGTATGTATGCTCCCGAAGAAACTTAGGTTACCTAATTAACGTTTGATGATTTATCGCCAAAAACAGGCCAAAAAAGTACAACACATATTTTTACTCATGTAACCTGCGTTTTCAGAATTACTGTTTGCACACATCGTACTACCGGAGGGGAAGGCCTGTTAAAAATCAGGTTCTATCAAATTATTCAATATGAAAAGCAAAAATTCTTGCCTAAAGGCACGTGGACAAATGAAATTGGTTCTACAGTTTGACGTATGACAGGCTAATGGACCGTAATCACCGGCATGGGTATCGTGTGAAAAACCTATAAAACGTCAAAAAAACCTATAAGATGTCATCTTGTGAGCTAGGTAGTTTTTAGGGCGCAAACAGTCATCCCACGTCTGCTCACTAGGATCGTTGTGAACGTCCATCTAAGGAGGAATCACTCAACTAAACTAAGCGCATTATTGCATATTGCTTATATTTTGTGAGGCCAAATGGTCCTTGTCTGTAGCTTTTATCTCTGAGAAGAAAGTTCATTGAATAACAATATCTCATCTGTATGATTGTGTGCATTGGTCTGCATTTTTGTATCAAATCAGTGATATTTGCTGTGTGAGAAAATCATTACTGAATATGCTGCCAATGAAGAATATCTACATATTGGCTATGCCCAACGGGTTATTTTTGTGTTGTGCTTTCTGAAGGAAGGTTATGTTCAAAGTTATAAATTACGAAAAACTTAGGAGAATTACGGGAAATCATCACCGCGCCCGCGTTCTGTGTAATTACTCTTAGCATGTATATGGCTTGTAATTCTTCAGTGTACAGTGAATATAATTATTTCTTATCTCTCTCATTTTTTAAATTCAGCAAATTTGTATATGTAATTTCAAGAATGGATAACAAAAGTGGATGCGCAACTAATTTCTAGCTTTGAATCTCAATTAAATGAATTTGAGACAAGAACCCAATCATCAACACATACGACTTACAGCTTAGACCTCCAGTAATGCCGTCTCAGAAGCAGATTTTACATCACATCAGAGCCAAAGATTGATAACAAGCCTCATGCCGTTTAGGCACTAAGTGTTAAGTTAATATCTTGTAGAAAAACCTACTTAATGTCAAAACAAAACAGCATAATGTAAAAAAAAATCGGCATAATGTCACTTTTCCAGATACGTGATACCCGTGCCGTCCTGACATTCATTCAATCAGGTACGGAACGCGCCAAACAGTTGGGTACACAAAGATCTAATTTGTGGTTTGAGTGTGTCACAGTGATGAAAATCCTACCAAATGTAACTATTTTTGACAGATTCAGAAAACAGTGTGACCGCACCAATTCTGATAAAAACACATTTAAAGTTGTTTTGAAGGGTATCTCAGAACTTGTTTCAGTTTCAATTTAAGAGTTGAAAGATTTGAGTTAAGCGAACAAAAAAATTATGCTTTTTCTCGTTTGTTACAGGAACACATGGGCGGCAATGCAACGAAACGTCATTTGGCGTGGACGGCTGTCAAATCATGTGTTGCGGGAGGGGTTACAGGGTACAAGAAGTGATGGTGGTGGAAAGGTGTAACTGCACCTTTCATTGGTGTTGCGAAGTGAAATGCGACATTTGCAGAACAAAAAAGGTCTTGCATACGTGCATCTAAACTTTATACTTCCGGACTAAATAGTATAGGAATTTTAGAGCTGATTGTACGTAATTGGTTGTGATATTTTTTTATAATTACTAGAGCTACTCTACGGAATGAAGGAACGAGGTGAAATAATACATCTTTGTCGTGCTTTCATTGCCGTCAGTTTTCAATATGTCAACTGTTGTTGCTTCAGAAGGAAAAATTTCTTCAAACACATGCTGATTATTCATTTAATTTTTGTTAAATTACTTGTTATTTCACCTATATAGTATAATCAAGTACCAAATTTGAAAAGAGCTAAGAGTGTGTAGGATGTTTCCATTCCAGTATTGGAGGATGATACGTATAACCTTATCTGCCTATCCTAAAGATTTCGTGGAGTAGCTCCTCAAAATTGCCAAGCTCTACAAAATTTCCGTCGACGCTAAACTTTGCCGAAATTCGTCGTACTATATTTTAGCGACACTAGTGCCAAAAGTGTTCGGAAAATTCGTCTGATCAGTATTATGAGGTGTGTGTACAATAATTCGATGAAAAGACTGATAATAGAAACTCGACATATTTCTTCTGTAAATAGCTATTTATTTGAATCCCTTAGCTCTTAGGTCAAATCGTGATACAGTATTTTTACGACATTTTATTTATTAATAAAAACTGGATTGACTCTCTGAAAAATATATCCTTTAGAGAAAATGTAATAACTATTATTTTTTTGGAATCTTTGTATCTACTTCAAAATACGTAATCAAATACTAATTTTTTTCGAACTACGAGTAACGAATTGTACCCAATGCCATTGAGCTTAGACTTTTCCGAGTTGTTTTTCATAGAGCAGTCAGCAACATAGATGTTAATCAAAAACCAGTACTACGAAATTGTGAATGCAAACCGCAGTTTGGTATTGAATTCGTTCGTCTTTCTAAAAAATGTACATATGAAAATCAGCATAGAACCGTATCTCAGTGTAATATATTCTCTAATTTATTATATTTCTTATAGTCTACATCAATTAATTTATTAATGTTGTACATTAGCATTCTGTAAATATTTATACGTTTTATGTAAATACCGTCTCTATTTTTCTTAATATATTATTTATAATTATACGTACTTGTATATTATCAACATCGAAATAAAAATACTTATAACTACGTGCAATTTGTCTTATTCATCAACTACCTCATGCAGATAAATTTTATGCCATAAGCGATTAAGTTGTTACGTGGCATAAATATGAATTGCAACCTTAAACAGTAGGTTGCCACTAATATTGCACAATCAAATCTGTCAAAGCGCGTGATCAATACTGCCGAGCTGGTGGTGCCATTTATACTAACCAGCATTTTTTATGACGCTTGAGTTATATGGTATCTCTTATTGTTAGTTAAAATTCTAGTTTTAAAGTTTTCCAGAGTGAAAAACTACAGCACCCCAACAGGACCCCAACTAATAGATGTTTATTATAATAACGGATTCTATGTATCTATAAATAAACGACCTGTTTTGTATGCAATACAGTTGAGTAATAGATATAAGAGAAGATAAGATCTCACTATAATCCGCATAAAGTAGTAATGTCAACATGCCTAAGGAGCATGCTGAAGAGGTAGAATACATCTCATGATATTGCATAAACTGTGCCAATCATTCTATAAGCTTGACGTCTAGAACACTGCTTATCTGTTAGTATAGTCATTTTAGAATCATTATGTCAGTCTCAACTGTAAAGACAAAGTTAATTTTGTGATGAATGATATCAATAACTCATAGTACTTTTCGCATCTTTTGGTGGTTACGTCATCAATGCCGTACGAAATAAGTAAGCAAATCGACTAACTGAACCGTGTGCGGAGATGAAGCTCCATAGGAAATGTGCACATTGAGCAAACCGATCTTCAACGCGTTTCTGCATTCATAAATTGGCAAAAACTATAGATATTGTCCGTTAGTTGAACTTTCAGGTACTGCTACGTTTTATAGTATATAATATAACTCAGAATGGTACGCCCATGTCAAGTGGGTTATCACACTGACAGTGATAAGCAAAGACTCGGGATAATACGTTGTCAAGAAACTTTTCGATGTGGCAAGACGAAGCTGAAGAACGCATGTCTGAGCTTACACTAACAAACGTCCGCGCACAGATCCAGACTGCTTGACAAGGGGTTGACTTGGCAGAAACATACTGATATTTTGAAAACAAAATTCTCAATTACCTTTCAGCAGCTTTATCCTTTGTTGTGCAGAAATTCAAAATTAGGTTTGATCAAAAGATTCGGTTGTATAAAATGGTCATAAGACCCGCAATCACCTATGCATGCGCGGCTTGGTGTTTTCTTACCAAGACGCACATGCAGAGAGTGCAAGTCCTGCAAAACAGAACCGTACGCACAATTACTAACGCCCCTTGGTACGTGTCCAATGAGACTATTCACAGAGATCTTGATATCCTATATTTAAGGGATTACGTAAAACAACAGGCGCAGTGGCGTTATAATCAAGCGGAATCGCACAGCAACGCTCTGTTGCGCGATTCAGTAGACTACACAGTCGAGCAAGTTCGCAAACATTCCAAGCCGCACCTCGCACTGTGATCAAAATTAAATTGTAAATTCAGACCAGCCAAAATTATTTCAGTATGCAAAACCGATCAAAATTATTTTTTGGAGTTACAAAATAATTCGAGTAGTCAAAGCAATAATGCTTAAGCTATTTCAAATGATTTACTTCTTTTTTTTGCTCTATTTCTTCCTTCTTTGCCTTTTCCCCTTAAACATGTTTGGTATCTGGATAGCCAGACCTGACCGACTAACAGACCGACGCGACTTTTAACTAAGAGCAAAGGTCGACCGGACCGCTCTGACGAATAATGACGAATAGTAGACCCAGACTGCATATGTATGCGTGTGTGTGAGGGAGATGGATGTTTAAAAGTGATACTGGTAGTTCCGCCAGAAACCGTGAAATGAGCTATTGTAACATATTATTTTGCTGAAAATGGATGCATTCACAAACTTACTTGACAAATGTTAGTGGCAGTCAGTTTTCCAGATCATTCCTCAGGGAGCATTATATTCGAGAATTGGCGCTAAAGGGGTGTGCGCAACCATTGCGGTAATTTCATTTTGTTACCAGTATGACATTATCAGGTGTATAGTATTATCAGCTATAATCGGTTCAGTAACCCAGTTCGCCTTAGATAGCTAAGAAATATTTGGAACCTACAAGTAAAGGGTGACCCAAACGGTACTTCGGAATTTAAATCGAACGTCATTCCTCAATCACTTTAGTTAGGCATTTTATATTACTCATGTGTCTTCTAGAGACCCGGAAAATTAGTAATGGATAATTTTACGACTGAGGAATGCATAAAATGTGTACAAACGGACTTGGAAAGTTATCACAAAGATTGCGGAGGGCTTGAATGTTTTTTCACCCCGGTTGGATAATATGCACCTTAGCAATATATCCTTTCAACAAGAGAGGGCCAGTAAGTTCTCGCAAACGGGCTACCAAAAGCCTGCAATCATTAATCAAGGATATAATAACATTTTTTGCTTCGCTTACTTCAAGTTTGGGATTCGTTTATCAATGTGTTTGAAGGTTACTTCAAGGTCATATGAAGGACATTTTCAATAAAACATTTGCCTCCAACCGCATGTCATTTTTCCAAATCAGGGGTCAATTAGTCACTATCTAAAGGTGATTTCAAGGTCATCTACATGGCTTATTCAAAATAAGTTCAGCATTCCAGTCCAGTCGCGTGATCCACAAGTTTTTGCGGCCGTTGAGTTCAAATCAGAGATTAGTTTGTCTCTAGGAAGGCATATGAAGGGTATTTTGAGGCCATTCAAAGGATATATTCAAAAAGTTAAATATCTCTATCCGACCGGATATATAAGGTTTATAAGACTATACATATTTCTCAACAATTTGCAAAAGTTAGTAAGAGTTGACACTAGATTTTACTTATAATTATAAGGCGGAACCTCATTAGAAACCTCTTTGAATAATAATAAAATACAAAAGTGAAGCTAAAGATAGTAATCACCCCACAGTCTACAAAAAAACAACAACAGTGGGTTTTGCATTATACATTAAATAAAAGTTCGTAATCCCCATATTACGATCCATATCCAGATGTTCCAATATGTTCAACACACAACACAATAGATGGTACAGAAGCTCTCGAATTTTGGCGTTAAGAAGTTGAGTCGAATGGTATATATACCAAAAACTTCAAGTTTAATAATCTATCATGATAAAGGTAGTGTGAGCAAAGTTCTGATTTCACGTCCAACTTATTGTTTAAGGTATTAGCTTTAAAACAGGAAATAGTTTTCATTCAGTTCCCATACTTTGTTTCTTCAGTTTTGGATTGGCTTTTGAATTTAGTAGACCACTATGGGGCAGTCATGTGACTTCCAAAAACCATAAGATCTCATTTTCTAAGTTTTTGCAATTACCGTACCTCATCGCCAACAGGCGTGGGAAGTAAAGCGTTTCCAAATCAAGTCCAAAGCATGGATTGGCCTGAAATCACTGCACTATTGATGTAAGCGTAAAAACCTTCCGTCTACGTAAAAGATGTAAATCTTGGGATAATTTCCATCCGCATAAAAATTTAGGCCGTATCTCAACAAAATTTATGTGAACGTCACAGAAATGATGAACCCGTCCTCTGCAAAAGGGCAGACGACTGGACTTGCTGTCATACGTACACGTCTCCGGTATTTTCTTGGCCAGCTGTCAATCAAAACCTTGTCCCGTTTCGACACAGCGCAAAAACCCAGCAGCACGTATTTGTTTTACTAATTTCTAGGGTTTTTGTGCGAGAGATTTTGCTGTCTTACGCTTTTGCTTTTTGAGATAATTAATTGGCCCCTTTATCTGGTTTAATATTGATTTGATTAAGGAGAAACCTCGAGACGAGCCAGCGTTTTTGCTCGACATGCCGTGCGACATCTCGGAGAAAGAGTTATTGGAGATATTTATGGCATGAAAGGCAGCCATCCAGACTGCTAATTGTAGTTCTTTCGTCAAACAGCCTCGCTTTTTGCTGATTGCAAGCAATTTTCTCCAACATTCTCACATTTTTTTGTGCCTCGGTATTTTTAGGCTGAATATCATATGTGATTACGACGGGAAGTGTTTATGCATTATCAGCCGAAAATGATGACGGTTTAGATATAAAACAATTTATATGTGATCAGGAAAATTAAATGCCTGCGGTGGTTTGCCACGCTTTGAGTCAAAGGTAAGTGTTACTCAACACAAATGTACGGGTGAACTTGTGATAAATTGGAGCAGCTTTGCACTTTCAAGGTTTAAAGGTGGATTTATGAACCTAGACTTTTTGTCACATTGACTGACAGCTTTGAAATGTAAGAATAATATTTCTAAAAATAAATTCATTTGTTGGCAACATTGCGAGACCTTCTAGTTCTGTGTTATGAGTTTGTTATGATTTGAGGTTCTCTTGAACTTTTACATTTAGTACTTGTGCTTTGTGTTGTGTTATAATTATCGGGTGTATGTTGTATTATATTTGGAATTGCATTTGGAATAATGGATTTGGAAAATATTTTTCACTGTTTTTTTCGACAAGTCTCATAGTATGTCCGAAAGAGTTGTCTACAGAGGTGTAAAGCAAAATGATACTATTCGTCATTATTCGTCAGAGCGGTCCGGTGGACCTTTGCTCTTAGTTAAAAGTCTCGTCGGTCTGTTAGTATGTCAGGTCTGGCTACCCAGATACCAAACATGTTTAAGAGGAAACGGGAAAGAAGGAAAGAAAGGAAGGAAGAAATAGAGCAAAGAAAAGTAGTAAATCATTTGAAATAGCTTAAGCATTATTGCTTTGACTACTCGAATTATTTTGTAACTCCAAAAAATAATTTTGATCGGTTTTGCATACTGAAATAATTTTGGCTGGTCTGAATTTACAATTTAATTTTGATCACAGTGCGAGGCGCGGCCTGGAATGTTTACGAACTT